GCCTTTCATTCCATAAAAATTAGAATGTCACCTTTTCATTTCAACCAAAACACTTCTTTGCATGAAGGATGTGAGAAAACTAACAATAAATCATCTGATGAAAGACAAGTTCTATTTTTTTAAATTTTTCATTGTCTCAAAACTCCACCGAGAGATGACTTTTATATCAGTCTAAATCAAAAATTGGTTAAAAATACTATTTTTAAAGCACAATATAAAAGTAAAAAGATTTTGAGTGACAAACATGATGGTTGAAAATTGAGAAAAAATTGTTGCTTGAAATGTTATCTAGGTGAATGTTTGTTTTTATAAGAGCTAAGATCATGAAGAAATATCAAACAAAATTCTTTCATTTGAAGAAAAAGAAGACATGAATCAAAGGAAAATGAACACGTTCCATTTGATTCATTATATATCTCCTTCGTTTGATTCTTAAAATTGTCCAGGTTCTCCATTGACTTTGTTAATTTTTCCAACTATTGTGCCTCTATCTCATCATATCAGGCAAAGAGGTACTGCAAAAATAAAAAATTCTACTCAAAAAACTTAATTATTCCCTACATACATTAGTCTTTAATAGTGATCGTCCCACAAATATGATTACTCATAATGTTTCTTTACCCTCATCCATTTATATGAGTAGTAAATAAAGCTCATGTTTAAACAAAAACAACAACAATAATGATCCATTTGTAATGATTTCATCTGCGACATAAGGTCCCATCCATTATAAATGCAATTTCTCAAAAATTTCATGTACTGACTATCATATAATAAAACTTTATTGCCTTTAACAATTTTGATGATACAAAGATTTGCATTATAGTTCTCTTTACATCTATACATCTTGCTGCACTAGAAGGTGTCATATTCTCATCTTTGTAGCCAAAGTCGCATTTTTAATCTTGAGGTTTGAAAATTTTCAACTTCTTTATATTGTACTAAAGTTTTTTTTCTCAATTTTTTATCCAAACAAAATATGTAGAAGTTGAAAAATGATCAAAAAATAAAAGAAATTGATTAATTTTTGTTTTAATTTTGAAATTTTAACATTTGACAACACGTCTTGACATTTTATGAAATTTATTTCAGTATTAAGTCTTGACAATATACTTTTGAAGAACCATCATACATTTTTTTGCCAAGTGAAATTACCAAAATGGTAATTTTCCATAAAGACAAATGCAAAACCAATTACATTAACAACATTAAGGCTAATCCACAGTCAAAACTTCATTGATACTTTACTTAGTTTGAATTTATTCTTTTTAGCACCTATCAATCTCTCTTTAGCATTAATTTCAAGTTTCATGAATTATTTTTTCTTTGATATTTAAATATTTAAGTACATCACCTAAATGTATAAAAATCCAAATCGCACTTAAAAGCCATATACTCTACCATTGAATTAGCAAACCTAAAATAAAATTTGAATTTCAAATGGATCAAAAAATAAAAAATATCAACATAATTATATATTAGGAGTTAACTCAGGTCTTGAGTAACTCTGGTTAGTTTGACTATGTTTAGTTAGACTAGGGCTAGGGCTGGTACTACTATATAAGAGGGTCGCGAAGCTCTCTAACACACAAATTAGGGTTATTTGGTAAAGAGACTCTGTGTGTTCTGTGGACATAGCCTTAGTGAGGTGAACCACGTATTTCCTATCTCGTCTCTTGATTGCATGTTGCTTCTCAGTGTATTTCCTGTCTTTCGAACCAACAATTGGTATCAGAGTGACCCGACCCTTGGAATTAGAGAGAATCGATGTTTCTGCTGCTTTGAGTGCTTTGTAGAGAGGGAAGCGGAGACCATGATCAGCGGGAGACGCTTCAGGCTCATTGAACGAGCACGAGGAATTCGATACGTTCGTCAAATTCTGCTGCAGTGGCTGTATTTGCGTTGAGAATGTAGTCGTTGAAGACAAAAATGGCGCATGGAGCGGCTGTTGTTGCTCGAGTGCGAGGCGTAATTGAACTCTCTAGCGAGAGGTGATCGAGCACATGGTGGTGGAAAATTCGCTGGCAATTCCGACCGACTTCACGAGACAAGGTTGGTGTGTAGATCTCATGCAGGTGGAATGTGCACGGAGGTCGGATTGTAGATTAGGACTTTGAATTTCAGTGTGGGGATGGTATCATGCAGCATGCGATGCGGCCCAGAATGACGGCATCTATGGATCCACGAACTATCTGCTCTATGATCATGCTATGTTTTCGGTGCGTGCTCTTTCTCAAGACGACGATGCAGATGCAGAGTGGACTGCGAAGGATTGGGATCGTGAAATACCGCTCCTTCAGTGCGGAGGATGAGAATTGAAGTTACTTTCTGGATATATACAGAATGGAATTTGATACACGGATGTTTCAAGGGGTCCGTAGATTGGAGATGGGAGATTTGACCTCTAAGGAGTTGGGATTTTAAGCGACGTAGAGCAAATTCTAGCAAAATTACACGATAGTGACTAGTGAGAAAGAATGGAAAGTAGATGTTATCCACCATTCCTCTTCTTCTTGTCCTATCAACTTAATTATGTTGGCCCAAAAGGTTCTTCACAAGATATCTACCGAGACGAATGTTTGAACTCCCACATGAGTCAAAGTGCCATCGCTTCAGGGGCTTTGAACCTTCTGGTTCAAAAGAATGCTGATTAATCCCTTCATCAACAGATTGAGAAAATAAGTTGGTCAAGTGTTCTTTGAACCATGATTATAGGTTTTCTGGGTCCTCTGAGAACGAGCATGACATTTTGAGAAGCATTCTTCTTCCGTGGTTCCGTCAGGATCAAAAATATGTCCTAAAAATGGGTACTTCTCTTGCATATCCAAAATTTCCGAGGCGAATAAAGGATTCAGTGGAATTCAGTGGACTGCAATTTATGATTAGACGTTCTGCACAAATTCAATCATAATCCTTGGAGTGATACGAGAAGTCAAACATAGTCCGAGCCTCGAGTAAGTGCAAAGAGCAAAGTTCAAACGGAAGAAGGAGTGGATTTAGTGGAAGGAGGACGCTCCCAACTACAGGCTTAGTTGAAGGTTCTTCTTCAAGCTTCGGAGTTTGGCGAATTCGGACTAGCTTGACAAGTACTAGACTACGTTACTTAGTGGCTGTGAACATCTTGGAAGCAGACGAAGGTGTCCTTTGATATCGCTGACTCGGATAAATTTCCATTATTCTCATATGAGTGGGAAGAAGTCGAGTTTGGAGGTTCCATCTGAGAATCGAACGACACAAGGGACGAGCTCAACACCTAGAAGGGGCGAGATGGCAGCCATGAAGACATGAGGAGCCGGATTTGACATTGTCAAATATGATGGGTGTCGTGACTATCTTCTGTGGGAGAGGCAAGTCAAAGGCAAGTTGAAGGCTTCTGGTTTGGGAAAGTCATTGAGGCCTAAACCCTCTACTTTCGATGATGAAGACTGGAAGGACCTTCAAGAGCAAGCAGTGAGTATTGTTATACTCCATCTACAACCTTCAGTTCTAAAGCAAGTTGATGAGTATGACAATTGTAAGTTATTGTTTGAGGCTCTTTAGTGACGGTTTCATCGCAAAGAGTTATCAAACAGGTTGTACACCTCCTTGAAGCTCATGAGCTTCAAGATGAAAGATACAGGTACGAAGATCCAAGATCACATTGATACCTTTGGTGATCTTGTTATTGATCTTCAGAATCTCGGAGAGGAGATAACTGATGAGAGGAAGGCCCTTCATTTGTTAAGCTCATTACCTGCTTCATATCAGTCACTCTCACGAGTGTTGCTCCATCGTGATAGACAAACGATCACTTTCAATGAGGTTGTAAGTGCTCTCCTGACTGATGACCTACAGCAAAAGATGATGATGCCCTCTACTCCATCCTCTTCATCCAGTGCGGCATTTGAATGTGACCGTGGACGGTCACAATCAAGGAATGAGAAGGATGGGAAGAAGTTTGGATCTAGAGGTAGATCCATGTCTAGGGATAAATCCCAAGACAGAAAGACGGTGGTCTATTGGAAATGTGGCAAGAGTGGTCACTTTAAGAAGGATTGCCGTGTGAAGACCAAAGACTCTTGATCCTCCTTTGGCCAATGTGGCTCAAGATTTTGATGAGGAGGATGACTTGCTTGAAGATGGACTATGAAGCCAGAGATATGCCCTATGCAACTCACCAAAGGGTGTTGGTGATGTATGGATTCTGGATAGTGCTTGTTCTTATCACATTTGTTACATTAGAGAGTTTTTTCATACTTTCTTAGTATCAAACGGTTTAGTTCTTATGGGAAATGATTAACCCTATAGAATTGAAGGTGATGGATCTGTACAGATTCACATGTTTGATGGAGTCAAACGTACGTTGATTCACGTCAGGTTTATACCTGAAATGAGAAAGAATCTTATCTCTCTTGGAATGTTAGATTCAAAAGGCCTTGAGTGGAGTTCTAAACAAGGGGTACTTGAGGTGAGAATAGGTGATAAGATTATCTTGACAGTACACAAACATAGGAATCTGTATGTGCTAGAGGGCAATATCATCTGTTATGAAGTCAATCTTATCACATTTGTTACATTAGAGAGTTTTTTCATACTTTCTTAGTATCAAACGGTTTAGTTCTTATGGGAAATGATTAACCCTATAGAATTGAAGGTGATGGATCTGTACAGATTCACATGTTTGATGGAGTCAAACGTACGTTGATTCACGTCAGGTTTATACCTGAAATGAGAAAGAATCTTATCTCTCTTGGAATGTTAGATTCAAAAGGCCTTGAGTGGAGTTCTAAACAAGGGGTACTTGAGGTGAGAATAGGTGATAAGATTATCTTGACAGTACACAAGCATAGGAATCTGTATGTGCTAGAGGGCAATATCATCTGTTATGAAGTCAATCTTACCACATCTCGGCCTGAGATGGCTCATGTTTGGCATTCTAGAATATGACACATGAGTAACAGAAAAATTATTTTTCTATTTTTAGAAAAATAGAAAAATATTAAAAATTCAATAAAAAGTCTTGGATGGAAGGATTCGAACCTCTGAATAACAAGATCAAAACCTGCAGCCTTACCACTTGGCGACATCTCGTATCTTTTTTATGCTAGTAAATCATTATTTTTTTCATTTTTTCAATCTATTCACAAAAAATCAAAAAATTATAACCTCTTTAAAGCTAAAAAAAAACTTGTATAAAGATGTATCTAATAGTTTATACTATATAAATTAAGTTTTTTTTCTTCTATTTCACTTTTATAATAATGTTTATTGAAAAATTAAAATTTTAGTTATTTTAGCTTATTCAATTTTTGATCGAATTGTAGATGTAATTCCAATTATATCTTTGTTTTTTTTTTCTTTTCTCCTTTGTAAAGCAAACTTCAGTAAGTTTTTGATAAATTCTTATTTTAAATTTTTTTTTGTAATTTAAGTTTAATTTTTAAATAAAAATATTTTTTTTAACTTATATATAAAAGTTTATTTTTATTATTATTTAAGATTATTCAAAAAATTTATGATTTTTTTTAATTTATAGAAGAAATGGTAAACTAGTAGTCAACTACAATAATTTTTAAAATTTCTTTTATTTACATAATTAGGTTACCAAGGGTTCAAATCCCTTTTTCTCCATTTAAATTAAATGAATTTTTTTTTGTAAAATTTAAATTTTATTTTATTTTATTTCTAGTAATGATCTTGGAGCTTATGTCATGCTTACTCTTAAGCTATTTGTTTATTCAGTGGTTATTTTTTTTGTTTTCTTTTTTATTTTTGGATTTTTATTAAATGATCTAGGTTGTAATCCTGAACGTAAAGCATAAAATATTTAATTTTTAAACGGAGAGAGAGGGATTTAAACCCTCGCTACAAAAACTTGTACAACGGATTAACAATACGTCGCTTTTGTTCACTCGGTCATATCTCCAAATATAAAAATTTATTTATTTTTGAATAAAAAATATTTTTTATTTTTTATTTTTATTTAAATTTTAATTTTTTATCCAATTATTAAGTTTGATAAAATATACTAATATATTTATTCTATATTATTTTGAATAATAAAATAAATTTGACAAAACTATATTTTTTAATTAAAAATTTAATGATTTAAATCATTTATTGATATAATTTTTTTCCTAATCTTAAAGCTAAAATACTAATTATGAATACATTTAAAACAATAACAATAATTTGACTATCTGAAATTGAGATCATTATTATTTCTCTTTAATCATTAAAAAATAAAAATATATATGGGATACAATTAGAAATTAATCCAAAATTAATATGAAATTAATTTTGAATAAAGAATATTGTCTTATTATTATTATACTGATCTCAATTTATTATAGCTATAGATTTTTTTATTGTTATTTTAAGTCTACATTAATAAAAAAAATTTGTAAAAATTTTAGAATTGTAAAAAAGAAGAGAGGTTAAACAAGAATGAATTTAGAAGTTATTACATAGCTTTCTGTTCTAGCTTTAATAGTTGCATAAGGGCCATCAATTATTGCTTTATTAGCAGCTCAAAAAGCTAATTTGTAACTTTTTTGATTTTTCATCTCAAAAATAATATGCATTTTGAAAAAAATCTAATTCCGGGGATGGAGCTAAATAATATGATAAAACCCTCAAATATAGTATATAATAATTATATGATGGGTATATTTTAGTAATAAAGGTACGATTCGTAAAAAAAATGTTCATGGATCATAACTTTTTTTTAAAGTTTATTTCTAAATAAATTTTTAATTATTAATATAATTTTTTATTATTAAAAACATTATTCCTTAAAAAAAGCGAAATATTTCCAAAAAAAATTTGATTTGCTAAAAATCTATGGAAAGAAATTAAAAATAATTTTTTTCATCATAACTAAATCTTCAAAATTTTGATGCAAAAATATTAATTATTTTAGTAATTTAAGTTTGCTAAAATTATCAACAGTACAAAAAATTTGGTGAAAAAAATTTCTAAAAATTAAAAATAAATAGAAATAAAGAACAAAATAATTAAAAAGTTTTAAATTTAAACTTGTTTATTTTTTAATAAATGTTGACTATAATCCTTAGCCTTCCAAGCGAATGATGCGGGTTCGATTTCCTGGTGCCCGCTTTTCTAAAAAAGAATTTGAAATCATAAACTCCAATGATAAATTTTAATAAATTTATCATTTCAAATTCTTTTTTAAGCGTCCATTGTCTAAAGGACAGGACATAGATCTTTCAAATCCTAAATCAACTACAGTAAACATAGACAAAAGTTTTGTAATTTTTTTTATTTTTCTTCTTGAAATAAAAAAAGTCTGATATGTTCAATGATAGCTTCCTTTAAAAAAATTTGTGCTTGTTCTATAAAATTTTAGTAGAACGAATAATTTCCGCAAATTGTGGTTTATCACATTCATAGTATTGATCACAATCGTTATCCGGGTACGCTCAAACGCTCGGTTTGTGGAGCTGAAATAGCATTTCTCGAAATCCAAAATGGGCTTTCATATAATACATAACCTCTTAAGCGATTTCTGTTAAACCCCCAGACTTTTTGCGTATTTTAGACTTTTTGAATAATAAGTACCCAGTTTCCGGTAGGAAAAACAAGGCACTTTAGATGAGGGAGCTTGAATGGTAGAAAAGGTCTTTGTGCCCACAATTTAAGCAAAGTGCCCATCAAAGCCGGTATGAATAAAAAGAGATGAAAATATAGTCCAAAATCACGCCGGGCATGAAAAAAAAATTAGTTTCTGATGTAAGCACTTTTTTTGTCAGACAAAGCCCCGGGCTTTGTCTTGTCGAACACCATAAAACCAAAATACTGTCCGACAAACCCCATGACTGTCAGACCAAAAAAGGGAAAAAAATTGAAAAAAAAACGCGCAAAAAAGGGTAATTATCATGTTATTAACTGATAGAAACTTTAATACAACCTTTTTTGATCCTGCTAGTGGCGGGGATCCCACAAGATGGCCGCATTTGAGAGCAATCCCAAATTGAATAATGTCGCTATTTGCTGGAAAGGCTAAATGCCATTAAGTATTCGGTTCATAAGTGCTTGAAAAAATATCCTTTTTTACGCCCAAACATGTGAAAAGCTTATCTATAGATCTGAATTAGATCTTCAGTTCTATAGGCAATGCATAATCAGCAAGAAACTTTTAAAAAAAAATGTACATGAATGAAACAAATATTTTGATTTTACAAACAGATGAAGGATTCTCATAGACTACACGGAACGCATTTCCTATTGAAACAAGGAATGATGAGGGATCTTTAACTCCTCGAATATAATGGTATTTTACGCCTGGCATATCTTGCACTCTACCTCCTCTAACGATAATCACAAAATGCTCTGCAAATTATGACCTTCGTCAGGAATGTAAATAATTTTTCATTTCAAATGTTTTTTGTGAGATCTTGAATAAACAAATAAATAAAAAACAAATAGCATAGATTGAATCAATACGTAGTAATCTGATCCTTTATGATGACATAAACCTCTTGCTTTATATCATCATGCTATATGCTAGCATAAAAGGATAAATCTAACCTTTTATAATATGATGAAGAAAGAAATTTTGATTATGGTGACATAGAACGAAGATTACTTTTCTTCCATAACATCATGTTATGATAAATCAAGAATTTTGTTTATGACATCATGAAGTTTATTTGAATGCCAAATACTTGACATGATATACAAATAACGGTTGGAGGAATATTTTTATTTTTTGCTTTAAAAATTATTTAATAAAATCAAAAAATTCATATATTGACATGTATTCTTTTCAAATAGTTGCAAAGAGAATATCTATGATGTCATTAAGAAGTATTTTTATTAAATAATATCATAAAGTAAAAAATAAAGGTGATTACAAAAGGATAGTGTTAGTTTAAAAATAATGCACATAAGAATTCACAAAATAATAAATTAAATTTTTTTGACATGTAGTTATTTATTTTTTCTTTATCTTGTTCAATGAATATTTTCAAAATAAAATATTTTAAATTTTTCCAAAAGATGGATTTTTTTTATCAAATTTAAAATTTATTTTTTTGCTCAATTAATTAATTTTTTATTGATTTATAAATAAAATTTATCTAATTTATTTTTGCATACATGTATTATGATCAAATAATCAATATTTATGTATTTTTACTTTCAAGAATAAGTAAAAAATATTCATTATAGTTATTTTTATAATATTTTATTTTTTATTTTATTTTTATACTATAAAGATAAATTTAAAAATAAAATAAAATTTTCAAAACAAATTTTATTTCAAAATTTATCATTTTTATTTCAAGGAGTAAGCAATTGATATATAATTATATATTTTGTTTAATTTTATTTCATTATGATTCAATACAATTTTTGTTTATTAATTCAAATCAAATTTATTTTTTTCCTCACAATAAACATATAAACAACATAATTCTTGAATATGTTTCACCGACAATTTTTTTTAATTAATGAATTTTATTATTAATATTTTTTTTCAAAAGACAAAATAATAAAATAATCTCTCTGAAAATTTTGATTTATTTAGAATTAGGGATGACATTTCCAGAAAAAATTGCTGACTGGAAAAAAAATTCCTCATGGGCAGTGTTAAACAACTTGGAATAATGTGAATCTTTCAAAATTATCCTTACACATTTGTTGTCCATATTCTTTATCAAATATGTTATAAAAAATAAGTAAGAATTATTTTAGAAGGAAAAATATTTCATATAAATATGTTTATGTTGAATTCATAATATTTTTATTTTTTGAAGATCTCTTTTAAAAATTAAAAATAAATCATAAAAAAAAATTAAATAAAGATTATAATCTTATTTTTTATATATTTTTATCTTGAAAATCTCAATTTTATGATGATTTGAGCCCAAAAAATTAAATATTTTTTATAAATCTAATATTTTTATCAGCATATACTCAATATTTTAAATTTATTTATATTAAAAAAACATTTAAATTTTGAACTTTATAAGATATTTTACTCTTCATATTGATGATGAATTTTAATTCACTTTTACATACCAATTTTATTTTTTTCATTAAATAGAATAAATAAAAGAATTAAAAA